AATTGAGGTAACATTAGCTTATTGTTGATATTTTGAAATTATAGGGTCCCTCCTCAGGTATTGCCACGGTAGTGGGCCTTCCACCAAATTACCCAAAGTCCGTCACCATTGTCCATTATACTCCCTTCCCTCTTTTCTCTCACACTTCCCTCTGCAGCCTTCAATTCTATAGTCACCTTTTAAGTGTTACTTTTTAAATCTCTCTATCTGATCCCTAGTTTGGTTTCTGTATATTCCATGTACAAGTGACAGCATCTGGTATTTATCCTTTTCCTTCTGACTTATCTTAGCAAAATCCCTTCCAACTCCATCCATTTTGCCACAAATGGCATTGATTATCTTTTTTTGATTGCTTAGTAATGACCTGCTGTGTATATATACCACATTTTCTTGATCTACTCTTCTATTTTTGGGCATTGAGAAAGAACCATAGGTTTCAGAAAGCAATTTCAGAGGAAGTCATGTAGGCCAGAGGTATTCAACAGTGTTTGGGGGTTCTTCAGAGATGTCCTGATGCCTGCTTCAGTGGACAAGGAAAATGGTAACAGGATCTGGTGTCTCCACCACCCCTTACTTTAGCAAAAGTGGGTCCCTTCTATCCATTCTACTTTCATTCGGTTTCTGTATAAAGTTCATCATGGAACTTAGTTTTGAAAATTAATGACATTGCCTTGCCTCTCATTTCTATGGCAATAAATTGGAGGCCCAGGGACAAAGGGGAACTTTTCAAGGTGGCAAGTCAGACTGGTAGTAGAGCCAGGTTTAGAACTCAGCCTTCCATGTGTTTTCCCTTTTTGCTTGTAATCACCAGTGTGAATTAGTTAGGGAGGTTGCAGTGAGTTACAGACTATGCTTCATGGTTTCCAGATCTTACTATGTTGTGTAAGGGAGACAAACATCTATATATAGAACAATAAACAATATGGTGAAATTTAATAGGTCAGAATAGGGTTGCAAAATAAGGGATTCATTAAACTCTGAGTCACTGAATCATAGATAGTTTGATATGGAAAGAATTTTAATAATCACAAACTCTAATTTTATGATTTTATAGATAGTGAAACAGGATTGTGAGTTAAGTGACCTAACCTTGTATGTCTGAGCTGTCACTGAGCTGATCATTATTTTGGCAGAACTAGATGCTCAACTTATAGCTAATGATACCATGTCCAGTGGCCCTAATGACAAAATGATCTGAATGGACAGGGATGAGGAGGGATGACTTTTGAGGCAGGGAAATCAAGGGAATTCTGAGTAATCCTATTAAGAAGATACAAAAGAAGGTGTGTGTCTGGAGGTGGGTATAGTGCCCATGGAGAAGTACAACATACTCATCAAGTAAATGGGGGGGCAGGTGGGGTGAAATGGACAGCTGCTATAGAGTGTAGAGCTGGACAGGGCTGTGATAAAATAGTGCTTAGAATCTGTGAGTCCAGTTACTACACATAATTTGAACTGGATTAAAGGTAATAAAACTAGAAATACTAGTCCTACTAAGAAAACAAAGTAATATTTTAAAGGAATAATTTATTAGGACTTGCTGATAAATCTGACAGTCAGGAAAAGTCAGAGAAATTGTCCATCTCTCAGGTTTTGAATCTCACTGACTAGAAGAAGATTATGGCAGCAAGGGAAATTAAATTAGAGGGAATGAATATATTGGGGGAGGAGACTGTCAATTTGACCTGAGACATATTTGATTGGGTGTGATGGCAGGATATTCAAAGTGGGGTGTCTTGTGGACTGCCACAGATAAAGTAGCATGTTCAGTCTGGCCTTGGGAAGCATTAGACCAAGATGCCATTGCTGTTGTAGAAATGAATAAATTGCAACTCCATGGATATGAAAGAGAAGTGCTTACAACTTTGACTTGTGACTTCCAACCTTACAGATACCCCACCCCAAACACACACCAAATAAAAAAGAAAGATCTACAACATACCTGGAAGAGAGAATAGAGAGGTGTGAAGGGATTCAATGTCAAGGATTCCGAGGCAGCAGGCAAATATCAGAGGAAACACAAAAGAGTCACTATATTTGGCTTCCCAAAAGTTAAAATTGGTCTCAGAGTGAACAGATTCCATGTTGATAATGTCAATAAAGGATAACAAAGAGAGGGTAGGGTGGGTGTGGTATGCAAAAGAACAAAGAGAAAGCCCTGGGCTTTCTGGTGGTGCAGACTGATCCAGGTGAATTGTGGCGGTGTTTAGGGGTGTCACTGGCCAAAGTCCAGTGACAGGACAGTTAGGAACAATAGGAGAGTGAGAAGTTTGGAGACTCAGTGGATAGCTCTTTGGAAGGAGCCTTGGCAGACATTTAGCTCCAGGCTCAAAGCCTCTCTTATAGACTAAGAGCCAGTTTTTTCATTCCTACTCACGCCGCCATAATCTAGCTAGAGTCCAGGAAGACTAGGGGACTCCTGGGGGTTCCATCTAGACTGGACCATCACTGAATTTCTGCTTTGGGGTAACACTGACCAAGAGCAGGAGACATCATCAGTCAGCCTGTCCAACTTCACCAGGGCCTTCCACTAAGTCTGCCGCTAATGCACCTTCACATAGCTAGCAGGATGCCCACATTTCTGCTGCCACAACAAAGGACCCCCAGTAGTTTGGTAGTGAGAAAGCACAGCACAGTGGGCTTGCATTGAGACCATGTGGCTGTCAGCCATCTGAGGGGGACATCCCCTTTGCTACTCAAAGTGTGGTCCAGAGACTAGCAGCATGGACTTTACTTGGGTGCATGTTTGAAATGCAGTGTCCAGACCCAGCTCATATGGAGGGAACCAGAATCTGTATTTTAGTAAGAGCTGAAGGTCATTTATGTGTTCATTAGAGAGTGAGAAGAACTGTGCCAGCCCCCAAGCCCAGTGGATCATTGACTCACTGTAAGTCCTGTGGAGTCAGAACCTCCAGCCATCTGGAGATGGCTAGAGTTTTCTCCAGGAAATTATACCCACCCAGAGTCTCCCATGTGAATTATGGACAGGCACATTTAGGCACATTTATGACTTCAATTAAATGTGCCATTAAAAAAAGTGAAAACTTCGTATTACAAAGAAAATTCATGGCAATCAAAGAAAAATGTAGAGCTGTCACCAAAACATCCCTTGAAATCTATCAGTTACAGGTTAGTGCTGTGACACTGCTTGCTGCCTTTGCTTCTCTGTATGTGTGGCCCCAGTAGATACAGATTTAAATGGAGTCATAATGGGCACATTATTTATGACCTGCATTTTTCATTTATTTTGAACACTTTTATGCCATAAAACATTCCTCCACCACACCATCTTTATGTATACATGCTGTCTTATTTACTAAATTTTGCCATATTTTTCTAACAAACTGCTTATTACTGGGTATTTAGGTTATTTCCAACTTCTCACTATTATAAATATGGTGCACTGTACATCTTTATAACTGAACATTTGGGAGCTCCATTATTTCCCTTGATAAAGGGCAGCAGGTGAAAGTATGAAGTGCACAGAGTGCTTGCAGTCTTTGATTTGTGTCTCCAGCATCCCTCCAGAATTCATCCTCCAGTGACCCTTCACTCTCACCGGCACTTAAACTCTCACCGCCAAGCCCGGGGATAGGAGATGACCTTTCCACGGTGACCGAATGGCGGATTCAGAGCTACAAGCCTCCTCGGCTGCAGTCCTATCTAATGTCTTCTCCAGCACCTGTCCATGGGGTTGGGGCCCCTGAGGTGGCAGGAAGCCCTGCCATGTGCATCCACTTCCCAAAATGTCCTCCATGTCACCCTTTCCCTCTGTATCCTCCTTCCCATCTTTCTTTCCCCCATCCCCTCTTATTTTCTGCTTTCTTACCTTTTTTCTTTTTCTCTTTTCCCCTTTTACTTGGTGAACTCTAGAATCAGCCATAGGGATCCCTGCATTTTACTTTCCTAGGCTATTTTTCAACTCCTATCTCCCAATTTCCCTCCACCTCTTACCATCCTACCACACTCATGACCTGATTGGCTCTGGATTTCTTTCCATGCTAGATTCTAGAATGGTCTTTCTGAAGGTGGTCATTGTAGGGAAGGCTCTGGGGCAAGCTAGTCCAGGGGAGGAGCAGGGCTGTGAGAAGCTTTGGGGTCTGGGGCTTATATGGAACACCAGCTTAGTTTAAATAGCTCACCCTCAAAAACACAGGCCTGCATCTCAAGCCGGTCTTATTTATTTATTTTTTTTAAAGATTTATTTATTTATACAAGCACTGGGTACAGTCAGAAACGCGGGAGGGTGAAAGAATTCACCAGAGCCAGAACGGGGAACAGAACAGGCAGACCGATGAGAAATACACTGCTGAGGGGAGCAGCGGGCGGCAGGAGAGGTCTGCGGCAGGAGAAGTCTGCGCGCCATGTGGGACCCTCGCCCAGTGGCAGGGATCGAACCAGCGCTGCAGAGGCTGCGGGCAGCCCCACACCCCAGTGCTCAACCGCTGCGCCACTGGGGAGCGGGGAGGCCCTCAAGGCGGTCTTATTATCTATCTGGAACAGAAAGGAGTTTAGTTGGTCTTTCACAGTCTTGGCAGACCCTGAGAATGATGCTTTCTAATTGCAGGGAGCCTTCTGAGTCCTAACCCCCTGGGAGGGAGAGGCGGGTGAGTGTGTGGTGACTCTGGAGCCAGATGAGATGTGGGATGGGATTTGAGCCAGGCTCATCTTCAAACTATAAGGCTGGCACAGCCCTGGGAAGTCCTCAGCTAGATGATTTGCGGGAACCTATTCTCAGGTCTCCCAGGGCTAGTGCCAGTATGCAGCTTACAGCCTCACACCCCTGTCAGACTTGCTCCCAGGTGGCCCCAAATGAGGGAGAAGCTGAACTTGCTAGACTGGGGGAGGCTGGACTGACAGATAAGTGCCCACTAGAACCTTTCCACCCTGTGATTGAGTGATTAGGGCCTCAAGGCCTCTGGCTTCCTTCTCCATCCCCTGCCTTCATTAACATTCTTCTCTGCTTCCCCTCACCAAGGACCGTTCAGTTGCTTCTGACTGTAGGAATGTGCTCCCTCCCTATGGCAAGATACTACATGTAAGTTTCTGGACCCCTCCCTTTCCTAATCAGTGGGTCTGGGATGACTTGGGAAAAGGGAAAGAAGCTGAGTCAGAGGAATGAGGCTCCTTCTCATCTTGGAAATCTCCAGCGCCCCATCATTAAGCTTAATCATCATCAGGATAGTAATGGCTCTAGGTCTGCAAGATGCCAGGCCTTCTACCACCTTGCCTTCATCCTGGGAAATCTACAAGGGAAGCATTACTAAGCCAATTTCATAGATAGGGAAACTGAGGCTCAATGAGGTTGAATAAATTACCTGATACCACACAGAGCCTGGACTCAGACTCTACGTTCTCCACACTGACACGTCCTCTTGTCTCTACAAACTCAGAGACAGTTTTGGATCTCAGTGACAGCATCTTTACATGCTGACCTCTGTGGCTTGTACTCCCAGTCTGAGATTCCAGCTCTTACTTGCATCCGATCTCATATGACATTTAAGTCTTTGTTTACCATGCTATTGAGAGTGATTGTTGTTATAAATGACCTCAAGCCCTTTGAGGAATGAGATGAAGCATAATAAAAATAAAATAGGATTGACCTCTGGGATGCATTTCCTCAGTTGCTCATGGGTCTGTCTTGTCCTGGACACTGCGGGGGCGGGGGGGTGCAGTGTCAGTTTGGGTCTCCAGGACCTTAATTTGACTGGGAAGGCAGGACTCAGGTGCACCAGGCACACACGTGCAAAAGAGATGGCAGCTTTTTGGGGAATTGAGCTTGGGCCTCATCTCCAAAAAGAATATTGCTGGCACATGAGTTCTCGCCAGGTCCTTGGCATCCAGGTTCAAGAGCCAATGGTTGTTGGCAAGGCTGCGCTCTTCAGATCTTCACTTTTATTGAATAAGGGAACCTGCGTTAACACTCACAGTCATTAGCTAAAGGTATTATCATTAGTTATTAAGGGAGAAGAACCTCCTGGAGGTGGTGGCATTGGCCCAGAGGTGGCTGGGATACCACAGGCCCTGAGATAGGTTGATGGGTATCTTTGGAACCAGCCAGGTGACTGAGCTAATAACCTCATGACTTTGATGTTGCACATGCTCATCACGGCCTCTGCCCTGCACAGGTGTTTACTCTTCAGTGTTCATTTAAGCATTAAAGTCACAGCCAACCCCCAAATGACTGTCATCGGGTCTCTGCTGACCTTGTAAACCTGACAGTCAGAACATGGCTCACCCTGGGGCACCCCTCGCCTGCAGGAGTGTGGCTGTCCAGCACACTTACCGTCACATAGCATGCTTTTCTTCTTATCAAAAGCCTTTAGAATATCTGAAAAACAAGCCGCTCTTATTATACACTCCATTAATCCTTTGACTGAAGAGAATAAACATCTATGAAAAATTGGGGGAGCCCCAGCAAAACAAGGTAAAGCTGACTGTATCCTGGAGACAACTGACCCCCATGAGGAAGTTTCTCATCAAGGGCATGGAAAAGGGTTGGCAAAGTCAGGAAAATTCTCTTTACCCTTCAGTGGCAAGGCGCTGGCGCCCCTCACTGCCCTGGGCTGACAGGGAAAAGTAGGAGCTTTAGCTTCAGGAAACTGTGAGCCTCAGGAAGCTTCCATTGCCTTAAGACTGACCTGTCTTCACCTGCTCTTGGTGAAGAGCTCTTCTCACCTGTCAAAGAAAGAATCCCCAAATACTTAGTGTGGTGATTCTGAGTGTGGGGGTGAAAGAGCCTTGGGCTCAGTGGTGCCTGAAGGGGCCACCATTCTGTTCCAGAATAAAGGATGCAGACCAGAAAGCGCTGTACTTGAGTGATGGCCAGCTCCTGGTGGGCGATCCTGACGCAGACAACTGCTGTGCAGGTGAGCACCCCGGAACTTGCCCTTGCTCCATCCACTGCAGGACCTCCATTCTCCTCTCCCCTTCCCCCGTGCAGAGCACCTCTCTTAGTGAGGGGATCATGGTCTGAAGGGTCCTAGTTCCCCCTGAAGTCCTCATGTCATGTGGGGTCCAGGGTAGGTGTATACTGTGTATGTTCCTTCCTGCCTGAGCCTTAGCTCAACCCAGAGCCTGAAACTTGGGGCCTCTCACCTACTGGCTCTCCTCTCTTCCCTCCCAGAGAAGATATGCATCCTTCCCAACAGAGGCCTGGACCGCACCAAGTTTCCCATCTTCCTGGGGATCCAGGGGGGCAGTCGCTGTCTGGCATGTGTGGAGACAGAAAAGGGGCCTTCCTTGCAGCTGGAGGTGAGAGACCATGTCCCATTCTGGGGTACCCTGCAGGCCTGGCTCAGCATCCTGGGCACTCTGGCATCTCTATACCCACCTGTGGACTCTTAGCCAGGTCCACGAACCCCTCTCCAGAAGATTCCCACCACCTCCCTCTGCAGCCAGAACTTTGGCTGAAAACGTCAGAAGGTGATTCCCTAAGTAAAGTCCCTCACTGTCAAAGCTCCAGAGGCTTCCAGGGGTGATGTCTCAAGCAGCCCCCTCCTCCTGCAGCTGGCCAATTTGCCCCCACAGGATGTGAACATCGAGGACCTGTACAAGGGTGGTGAGCAGGCCACGCGCTTCACCTTCTTCCAGAGAAGCCTGGGTCCTGCCTTTAGGCTCGAGGCTGCTGCTTGGCCTGGCTGGTTTCTCTGTGGCCCGGCTGAGCCCCGGCAGCCAGTGGGACTCGCCAAGGAGAGTGAGCCCTCAGCCCGAACTAAGTTCTACTTTGAACAGAGTCGGTAGGATGGCAGGAGCCTGAGTTTCAGGCTGGTATCCAGAAAGCAGACTCACCCCACTCAAGGATTGTGGTAGACGGAATAATGACCCCCTAAAGATGTGTACATCTTAATCTCTAGAACCTATGACTATGTTAGCTTACATGGCGAAAGAAAGTTTTCAATTGTGAGGGAGTTAAGGATCGTGGGGTGGTGATTATCTTGGGGGAGCCCAGGAGTCCTCATGAGAAGGTGGCCAAGGTAAGAGACTGAAAGGTACAAGGGGCTAAATTTGAAGCTGGAGGGAGGGGTGTGAGCTGATGAATGCAGATGCTTTCTAGAAGCTGTGGAAGGCAAGGAATTGATTCTTCCCTCTAACAGCCCTGCTGACACCTTGGGTTGAGTCCAGTGAAGCCCCTTTCAGACTTCTGTGCTCCAGAACTATAAAATAATAAATTGTGTTGTTTTAAGTCACCAAATTTGTGGTCATTTGTTGCAGCAGCAACAGGAAATGAATCCAGGGCCTTAAGTTCTTATGTGCTTAAGTTCTCATGTGAGGGCTCTGGGGGTATTTAGTGAGCCCTTGGAAGGCTGGTCAGAGTCCTCCTATCCACTTGCCCCCAAGGCTTCTAGAAACACCCAAGAGGTTCCAGGCAGAACCCAGCTCTTTTCTTCTGTCCATGGACAATGCCTTGGGCTGCTCACAATTTCAGTTTTAGTTCAAGTTTTAATGATTTATCTGTCAGACACATCACAGTAAATCAGTTATTCAAGTGATCTCTCAGTACCATTCATTGTCTGCTAGTTTTAACATGTGAGGAGTGCTAAGGGGGAGGCTCTGAATGTGTTCAGGATGTGCTGAGTTTAAAGCTACTGTGGAAATGATGAGTTGAGATGACTTGTTGCAGCTGGGAATAGAGCTGAAACTCAGCTGAGAGTTTGCTGTTAGAACTGAGTCTCAGAGCCCCAATCCTTCAAACTTTCCTAGAGAATCCGTGATTGGGCTCAGGCTAGAGCAGAGAGCCCTGGTATTGGGACTTGGAGAAGTAGGGGGGCGGGGTGCAGGCACTCTTCTTCTTTCAGACAACCACTCAGCATCTGTGTAAGAACCCCCAACCCTTGTGACTACAGTAGCCTCACTAGGATGACGCTGGGGCATTAAGATTATTATGTCCTCACCTGTAGAACAACACCTGTAGAACAACACTGCCAGGCAAACATTCTGACCCGTTTGACAGATGAGGAACCTGGACTAGGAGAAGTGGAATAACTTCCTGACGCTTCCATAACCTCTACGTGATGATGCTCCAGATAAAACCTGGTCCACATGAGTCCAATGTCACTCCACACATTTTTATTCTGCTCTTGTTCCAGGAGCTGGGGATAAAATGGTGAACAAAACCAAATTTCCTTGGAGCTAACAACTGAATGGGAGATTAACAAACAAGCAAAAAAAAAAAAATAAGGACAGTTTATGTGATAGAGGGTGAGGGTAGTAGGCAGTCAATGGTACTACTAGAGAGTGTGGTCAAGGAGGTGATTCTTGGACTTTTTGAGGAGGTGACATTTAAGTTGAAGCTGAAAGACAGGAAGGAGTGTGACTAGGAATGGACTAGACTAGAGGAAAAGCAAATGCACAGGTGCTGAAACAGAAAGGGGCTTGGTCAACAGAAAGGGGCTTTCAAATGACCAGAAAGATGGGGGTGGGGGGAGTGGGGACATATGTTGGGGGTGGCTGGAGCCTAGCAAGCAATGGAAAGAGGCAGTGAGCCAGGCTGGCAGGGGTTGTATCATAGTGGACCTTGAAGGCAAAGTAAGAGGTTTGATGTATGTATGTATGTATGTATGTATGTATGTATTTATTTTTTAAGATGTATTTATTTATGCATACAAGAACTGGGGGACAGGCCAGAGGTGTGAGGGGTGAGAGGATTCACCAGAGACAGAGTGGGAAATAGAATAGGCAGACCAATTGAAATACACTGCTGAGGGGAGCCGTGGGCAAGTCAGGAGAGGTCTGCTGCGCCATGTGGGTAGCTCCCTGGCTGCGAATCGAACTCATGCTGCAGTGGCTGCGGACAGCTTCATAGCGCTGTGTCTTAACCCCTTGTGCCACCAGGGAGGCTCCTCAATTTATTTTTAAGTATGAAAGGAAGCTATGAGGAGGTTTTAAGTAGAGGAGCGAGAGCTGGGCTTTATGGCTCTAATAAGCTGGAATTCTCTTTCCGCCTCCCCATGACCTGCAGGTGCCCTGGCTACTTCGGCACCTGGCTACCCCATCATAACTACATATTTATGCGCTGTGACTACTCAGTGCTTTTTGAAGGCATGTTCTGCTCAATTTTTGTCACCAGTGCCTAGAGTATTTGCTGGTTCGTGGCAGGTGCTGAAGGAGCACTTTGTCCTTGGACATTCAGGATACAGAGGAGAGTTACAGTAGCAAGGGGGGCAGAGGCCACTGCAGCACGGAGGTGGAGCTGGCATTGAAGGCAGGACAGGACTTCACAAAGGAAGGCAGGACGGGACTTCACAAAGGAAAGAGTATTGAGCCTGAACCTCAGAGATGAGGTTCAGGTGGGGATGAGCACTCTAGGCAAGATAGCATGTGGGAGAGTGTGGAGAAGAGTTCCCAGCACATCTGGGTCATGGTGAGCCATCTGTGGGGCTGGGACCCAGGGCTTGTGTCTGAGGAGTTGCCGAAACGTGAAAAATAGGTGGGGCCTGACTGTGAATGTCTTGCGCAGGAGGTTAGGCTTTATCCAGGAGGCCTGGAGGAATTGTCCACAAGTATTTCAAGTTGGACTTGGATTTTAAGCCCAGGCCCCTGATGTCAACACTGGACCAGCCCACACGCTACCAAGATGGCAACTCGTCTCAGCTGCTCCTTCCTCCACTTCTCCCACCTGCCTTCTGCTTGGCATTGCCTTGGGATCAGCTTCCAAGACTGGTTCCAAAACTGGCCTGACCGCTTCTTCATCTTCCCATGATCAGCTCTTCTCTTTCATTCGTGGTACCTCAATTTGGCCCAACTTGGGGCAAGATCCATGTGTGGGCAGAGGCCTGGACATGTATGGGGGGTACAGAGGCACAAGAAAGGGCCAGCAAAGGTGAGTCAGACCAAGTTCTCTATATAAGTAAAAAATGACCATGTGAATATACTGATTCTGTGTTAGTGCTGGGGAGGAAGTGGGTATAGGAGATGTGGAAGACATGGCCCCCTCCCCTGCAGGACATGAAGTGTAGGTGGGGAGGCCAGGTGTTATGAATCAAAGTCAATATTTGGCATTTTCTGTGGAATGACTAGAAGAATTCCCAACAGCACTTGGGGGGCTGTGGATTAAAATCCTACAGACGCTGCAGGGTTCTGGTGGAAATAATGTTGGGATATTCTGGCACTGGGGATTTAAGAGAAGAAATGGAAGCAACCACTGACAGGTGAAGAGTTCATAGAAATATTCTTCTCCCATATCTCAAGACTTGTATTTTAAATTCTTCCTCCTCCCTGGAGACCACACCAAAGGTTTCACTCCACAACCAACCCATCAGAGCCCTTATGTAAACACCCAGGAGAGGGATGTTTTAGATCTTGTCCATCCTTTACATCTCAGAATGGACTGGTAGGCCCTGAGTCAGAGACTAGTAAGCAGGCAATGGGAACACAACATTGTGTGGTAACCCCTCCCTTGTTCAGTCAGCCCTGGGCTGATGGGGAGGTAGGGGGTTCCCTACAAGGGGGTCAGGAAAGGGCTCAGAGGAAGTGTGGCTTCCATGGGGTCTAGCCAAGTGAGTGTCTGGGGACACATGGGGGGCAGGTACCTTTGTTCCAGGCAGAGGAGATGTTCATATAGACTTGAAGGAAATCCTGACTGTCTGTGGATGTGTTAATGCACATGTGTGTGTGCCTGCAGTGAGCATGACTGGGTGAACATGTGTGTTTATGGTATGTACACGTGGACCCATGAACCTGCGGTCACTTGTGTAGGTGTGTGTGTACGTGAGTGCATGCAGGTGTGTGCTTTGTGTCTAGGAGACACTCCAGGAGAGGGAGTGGTTGGAATGTAGAGATCCTGGTCTTTTGTCCAAGAAGCACTGAAATAACTTTGTACAAGAGGGTGACATGTTCAGGATCTCCTGTAACCCTTTGTCCTCCGTCATTCCAGCCAGGATTCAATATCTACTCATACTTCCTTTTTGATTCAAATTTTCATCTCGTCATCAATGCCTGCACATTACCATAGCTCTTCAAACTATTCAAAACCTTGTACACAAACTCCCAAGCCACAGAACATGTGGCAGTTCTAGTGATGTCGAAACCCAGATTTAGGGAGAAAAAGTAAAAGTGAGGAAAAAAATTAATGAAGACCAAATTTTCCTGGATCCCATTCTCCTAAGATGTGCAACCATTTCATAACTGACTATGACAGAAATGAGCATAACCGCATAGACAGAAAAGTTAACATCCAGGGCAGAAACATTGGCATTTGCATTATTTGGCTATATTTTCAGTGGATTTTTCATTTGTGTAACTCAAAAGGTTAGCTAGTGATCCTACCAAAACAGAGAGTCTATTTAGCCTCAAGGCAAATTCCAACCATTGCCTCTGAAAGGCACAAACTCCAAGCCATCCTGGATCCAGATCACAGAACCCAGTTCTGGTAAGGATCCTGCAGTGAGGCCTTTGGGCTGCAGATGGCGACAAAGATCAAATCCAGTGCTGCCTTTTGGCAGGAGCTGTGTGATCCATTAAATTTAATTCCTCCAGTATTAATTTCCCCCCAGTTTTATTGAGATATAGTTGACACAGCACTGTATGCAAGTTTAAGATGTATAGCATAATAACTTAACTTACATACATTCTGAAATGATTACCACAATTTTAGTTTAATTAGCATCCATCATCTCATATAGATAACAAAAAAAACTTCCTTTTCTCTATAGTCATCATCGCACACCTCCAGTATTTAGCATCTAACTTGTGTCAACTTATGTGCCCCAAATTTCTGCCTCACTTACAATAGATGCATTTAATGTATCTGTTATATCATTCGATGCATCA